AATCTACATTGCCCTGTTTTACATAAATCATTTCGACTGTAATTAATTTTGTCGTTGGTTTGATTTGTTATTCAAACAACGAGCTTATTAGTTTTACCGCGTAATGTTTTAACGTGTAATATCGCGCGCCCCACACACATGACGACGACACGTCGATATTGTTTTTACTGCATTCGTTGTTTTTGCTGTTGACGTTATCTGTACAATTGAATAAGAGAGCCGGCTGGTCGTCGTTGACATCATGTCATCACCTGACGCAATCAATGAGACAAAATCTGATGTCCAAGTCCCGGATCATGATGTAAGTTTGCCTGTAACCTAAACTGGCAGCCAGCAACAGAGTTTTTCTTGGTCTATATAAATTCGCCTCTATCGTTCTGCCATTTTTCATCGCAGGCATATTATACGTATACATTACCAATATCTAAACAGCGACTATTAAATAATAATTATGCGTCAGACGTTAATCTTTTGGGGATATGCCATTTGTCTTCAGAGGCCACCAAATTTATTTTACAAAACTGTAAACTTATAATTACTTTTTACATTTTAGTTAAATCAAGGTTCAGGTCAAATTTTAAAAATAATTATACTGTAACTTCTCCTCGCTGATCTATGTTCAAATTCATATTTATGTTTATTGTTTTTATATTAAAGTTTGAACATTCTCCTTTTATGGACTTACACGAACAGTTCATGCAGACTTTGGATAATCTAGAAAATAACCAATTAAACACCCAGCTAACGTCCCATGCCCTGCCTTTGGGTTCCAAGACGTTTTGTGATATTCTGGCATCGTTACAAGTAAGTTTTTAGAGATGTGTTAATTTCCTATTTTATGAGTTATTATTTAACAATTTGTATTGTTGTGGTAGACTCTGGTGTTAACTCAAAACAAGAAAGAAAATGGAGAGAACTATGAAGAAAGCACTCTTCCTGTTCTTCAAGATTTGGACAAATTCAGTTTGACATCATATTCTCTTAGCTATTACATAAGTCACTGTCTGCCCAATGAACAGACTGTGCCTGTTTTGTCTTTGGTCAATAAATCTACAACTATGTGGATATCAAGATTATTTCAGTCAGTATAAATTTATACTTATACATTTTTTAAACTGTTTATAAATTATAATATATTGTAATTATTGTTTCATTTAGATTTTCAAACTGCGGGGCATTTTATACAGAGAACATGATATTAAGCTATGAAAGAGTGATACTGCTTGCTCTGCACCGCATGTTTGGTCCAGAATACCTTAATTTATCCGAATTTCCAATAGTTTATTGTACCCCAGATCCAGTATTAGTTGGTACAATAAAGAGAGCTGCCTTACAAGTAATTAAAATGAATTGATAACTAGATTTTTTTTTTTTATTACAATAATTAATAATAAAATTATAATAGATTGGAATGAATGAAAAATCTGTACAAATCATACCATGCCTATCTAATGTGCTATGCCCATACAAAGCAGACTTAGGAGCATTAGAAACTATCATCAAAACTGATATTGAAAACCATAAAAAACCTCTTATTGTTTTTGCAAGAGCAGGTAATAAAATAGATATTATATTTGTCTTACGTTAATGCTTATGTTCTTATATCAGGTGCGCACGTTACTGGTCAGATGGATGATATTGTAAACCTTAAAGAATTATGCAACAAACACAATATTTGGTTACACTTATCGGGTGATAATTTATCAGGACTAGCCTTGAAAACATTTAAAATAAAAGTATTTTAAATAATTATAGTCATGATGATACTAAGAGTTATTATTAACTGATTATTTTTTCATTTTTAGAGTTCTAATCTAGCTGATAGTATGACACTAACTCCAAGCATTTGGTTGAATATTTCTGCGTTGCCCGTTATTGTATCCTTTTAAAAATGGAAATTATCATATTTATTTAATATAGTCATTCAATATTTTTGCAATTGTAAATAACTGTTAATATGATTATAATATATCATCAATTAAAAAATTCTCTATTTTTCTTAAATGTATTAAGTTAAAAAATACTGTACAATTACTTTTTCTAATACATAGATATATTCAATAAGATTTTTCTTAAAAATAGTTTTTAGACTTTGTTTGATAAACAATATACCAGTACAGAAATATTGAATATTTATAAGAGTAAATGTTTACCTATTTGGACGTGTTTTCAAGTTAGTACCTAACAATAACTTAATACTTCTTTATAAAATACTAAGATAAGTATATTTTTCAGGCTTTAGGACATGATGCATTAGTGCTAAGGATACAACAAAAATTTGAAATTTGTCAGCGTATACATAGTTTGGTTAAACGTTATGACTGTCTAAGGATTTTGGTATTAAAAGCAAATTTTGTTTAATAATACTAAATAAACTTATATTTTTTTTATCATTATTATTATTCAGTGTGAAACAAATGACCATAACAGTGAGTCTAATGAAGAAACAATTGCTGATATTATTGCTAACCAAGAGAATATTCCAGTTAAGTTGATATTAATATTACTTGTGCTTATTTGAACATAATTTGTTAATATTAATTATTTTTTCCAATCAGGATCTATTGCACAACTTATCAAGTTGTCTTGTTATCCAATTTGTACCTAAAGACTGTAACCAAAGAGTTTCTCCTTATTATGATAAACTAAATTCTTGGGTAAGAAATATTTCTACATACTCAGAATTTGTTTTGATTTATTGATTTATTGTTTTAGTTAGGTCAAGTGTTGGAACGAGAAATTCCAGAAGCCCCTTTAGAATTGTGTGAAATTGAATCCCTTGGTGTTGTAGTAACGTTTTCACCTTTTACTGTTTTAAATTCACTAGTTACTGAAGATGATTGGGAAACGTTTAGCATTTGTTTGGATCAACATATTGTTAGTATAATATGATAATATTTATAAGCAACTTAACAATTAAAACACTAGTAACTTTTTTCATATATTTTTGATAGGAAATTTTGCTAGCTACAGTTGATTATAAAGAAAAACTAACGGGACTAATAGCCAATTTGCCATCACTTGAATATGTTGAAATCGATGACTGGGCAGGACTTGGTGCTGTAAGGTATGTGCCACAACTGTGGCAATCTTCTGACCAACAATTGGCTACTGATCAGGCTAAACAAGATTTAAATCGACTAAATGTACGTATCGTCCAGCAGCTCCGTTCGATTGATGCTGCATTTTCATTAGGTAAGCCAATTAGTATAAATAAATGCTTTGCAATTGTGATACTTTAAACCGATTTGTCTGTGCGTTCAGGGGAAGGAAGTGATGGATTGGCTTGTGTTCGTTTTGGTATGGTCACATCTGACACAGATGTAGCTGAATTGTTGTCTCTGGTCCAAAGTACTGGGCGTAAAGAAGAAGAGTCAACCAAATACATTGACTCAATGGCTGAACTTGTGAAAAAAGGTATGAAAAAATCAAGTATTAATTAATCACTTAATCATTTGTATCATTTTTTTTTTCAGGCATAGAGACTGCGACCGTAGACTTACAAAAAGAAACCGAAGAAAAGATATGGCAAGAAGGTATTTTAAGACATGTACCAGTTTTTGGGAACATAGTTAACTGGTGGTCTCCACCAGCCAAAAATGCAGTGAAAGGTCGATGGTTAGATCTGGAGGCAGGTGTAGTTCGATCTACTGAAGTTATATATGAAAAGAAGGCACAAATAGAAGAGTCTGATGACAATGAAAATGTATCTGTTATGGCTGATGATGTGCCAATAGAGTAAAAGCAACTTCTTATATTATTAAGTTTACTGCTATATTATATTTTTATTTTATTTTTTTCAATATTTATTTTCACTAATTGAGTTCTTGGTCATAAGAATTTTATAGTTACTAAAAAACATTTATTTCAATATGAACTTTAAAATTATTATTTATTCGTATTTTGGTAAAATTTTTAGTTTGTTAGACATTTTCAACTGTTTTTTTTTTTTAATATGTATATTATTATATATTTATTTTACTAAAACTGTTTAATCATAATAAAGTACAATGGTATTTATTATAGTATTTTATACTTAACTAATGATTCAAATTTTAAACGCTTCACATTACTTTTTATGACAAAATTATTGAGGGCTAAAATGTTACCATACGAGTTCTTCCGCCAAAATAATATAACAAAATCATATAGTATTCTACCAACTGCAAACTTAAAATTAATTTATGAATCCACAATATTATTTAACTAAATTAATTCTCATTTGTATATAAGTGTAAATTATATTACTTGTGATATTTAAAAATATTCAGACACAAAATATAATATTTCCATAATTTTACTAAGTCTTAACATACCATTATTGCTGCTATTAATATCAACAAAAGTGAAAAACGAATTGTTTTAGTGTTGACCAAGTAGTTGATATCCTATTTTTGTACATCATATTTATTTCACAAATGTTGACTCTTGTTTTCTTAAAGAATTGTTCACATCAGTGTTATATTCTTTATAATTTTATAATTATAATACAGTAACAAATCATTAATTCGTATATAATTTATTGTCGGTATTTTATTTGAAAAAAATTGAATAAAATTCTCTTAGTAACATTTTCAAAAAAATGTTAACAATATTCGATGGGTAAAGCTTATGTTGCTTGACAATAAGTTTCATTACGACACATTTAAAATTAACAATTTATACATCTGATATCGCTGGAATTTTTTTAAACTTTGATCTTTCCCAGAAAAAAATTATTTATAGGAATACTTGAACATTTTATTGGCACGTAAAAATCTTGTAAGACTGATTACAGAATATTGCCACAAAAAAAGTTTGCCACCTACATTTTATATCAGAGGTTCCCAAACTGTGGATTGCCAAAATTGGTTGTGCCATAAAAAGTTTGGGAACTTCTGTTCTGACTGTTCTATATCATTACATCAATATCAAGTATCTATTAGTTTTAAAATCTATTAATATAAATAAATGTAATGATTGACAGTATGACATAGATGTTTAATGTTAAAAATTGTTAATAGCAACAAATTAAACTTTTACATGACAATAAAACACAAGTTATTTATTTCAGACTGATGTTAATTATTTGAATATCATCATGTGGCTTATCGGTTTTAGGATGAGTTTTTGCATTGCAAATAGTTTGTACTACTTCCATTCCTTTAGTAACACGTCCAAATACAGTGTGTTTATTGTCCAGCCAAGGCTAAAAACAAAACAATAATTAAAATATAACAAATATAATACTATTTAACTGAATGTAAAAGAAAATTTAACTTACTGTGGGTATAAGCGTGATAAAAAATTGACTACCATTAGTATTTGGACCTGCATTAGCCATGCTTAATGTATAAGGTCGGTCATGTTTCAAATGGGAACGTATTTCATCTTCAAATTCACCACCCCATATGCTTTCACCGCCTAATCCAGTACCTAAAATTATTTTAAAAATATTAACATTGCCATAATGAAATGTCAAATTTAATATCAATTGCATACCTGTAGGATCTCCAGTTTGTATCATAAATCCTTTGATAACTCTATGAAATATGTTGCCATTGTAATAGCCATTTTTGCTATGAACACAGAAATTCTCAACTGTTTTTTGGCATTCTTTAAACAATGCTACTTGAATATCACCAAAGACAGTATGCAAAGTAGCTGTATCATATAATCGTTGGATACCTAACAAATGTATACAAACAAATTTATGTAATTATGTTTTAGTTTTACAGTTAAAAATTTTAAGTTAAATGACCCTTCATAAACATTTAAGATATACTAAATGTTATATTGGCGATATTAAATTTTTCTTGTAATTATATTTTACAAAGAAAAAATGTTTTGATATAATTTTAGTAAGTAAACCAGTGAATTTGTTAAATTTTTTGATAAAACTTGAATTACTTAACAGTTTTTATGTAACAACAAATACATTTAAAACTTTGATTTCACATTCTTTAAATTAATTTTTTTAGTTTGATATTATATTCTTAAGATTTATAAAAGCTTTTTTTTTAATTTTACAGTGCATTAAGTTTATATCCATAGCCATATTAGATTAATAATAAATGTTTCATAATATATATACAACTGTTAATAAAACTTTGAATTAAACTTACAAGCAGCTTCAGTAGAAGATATAATATCTTCTTTTGAAGGTCTCTCATTAAATACATCACGATCAGCATCAATACTTTTAATATCTTCAGGTTCTCGCCTACAAAACAAAAAAATTATAGTTAATTACAATCATAAATAATAAAGTATTATGAGTACTAAAACAATGTGTATCTATTTTTTGAACACTTTTTTTCTAATACCTATATTTTTTATTACATTGAAAGTATTGAGATTTATACAAACAAGTGTTTGTAGAATGATTTATAAAAACTTACTTGGTAAACATATAAAATCTATTCTTTTTGTATGCTGTGCAAAACAGTGTAGGATCACTTACAGAAGCTTCCAATGCAGGATTTGTTGCTGCTTCCATTTCTAATGTTACTGCTGCTTTTAGTTTTTTAGCCTTACCCTACGTACATGAATGGAATTAAAATTTATAAAATTATATTTTTTGAATAAAATGCACATCTCGTGCTGTGTACTGACTTGAAATAAGGCGACTTTCAATGCTCTTAAGTTTTCAGGTTTTCCAATAATTTTGACCAATGTGTTATTAAATATGTTAACAACTTTCACACCTAACATGGTTGGATAAAATAAATAATGTCCACTTTCATCAAAACATAAATTAGCTGTGTGAGAGATTTCTGTTTTTTCTAACTCTCGTTCAATTGCCATTCTGAAATATAGTAATACATAATATTGATAACTAAAATAAAAAAAACAATAAATTAATTTTCAAAGAGTTTACCTTCGAATGAATTCAATGTTAGGTATTTGTTGCTTTTTTTGCTGAAGTTCACTAAAACGTGTCAAAGATTCATCAAAAACCCTACTTAGTTTACCTGTTAAAAAGTTAAAAACTCTGACCTACAAAATAAGAATAATTATTAAATAACTAATTTTACATTCAATGTATAAATATATAATATACATATTTATTAATTTAAAAACAAGTAGACTTGGTCAGTATATTTTTAATCAGATCAATATTACAGTACATCTAACATAGAAGGTATACACTAAGGTATAGTAAAGGATAGCCAGACCATAGGGTGGTTATTATCTCATTAGAAGCCTTGTTTCAAGCTCGCAACAATAATTTCCATTTCAACTAATTTACATGCATTTTATTAAGTTCATAAATATATAAATAGTATCCACAGTAAAATGGCTTTTAACAAATTTAATGATATAATTAACATAAATGAAGTATAATATACATTAAATAGATTCTAATGTTTAAAATGAAAAAAATTGTGTGCATTAATTGTATTTAAAAATAAGATCAAATTTATTAGTATAAAAAATATAATATAATGTATTTATATATTTATTAATGTTATACCTTTCTGTCTGGTGACATAGTAGCAAATTTTAAACCATCATTTGAAAAACATAAGCTGGTAGCATGTGTTTTATGTCTAACAAACTCAAAGAGATCAGTATCGAGCTTAGAATCAAACTGTACACACTTTGGAAATGTATAATCTGTTTTAGCTCCAGACCAATATTCAATTATGCCACTTTTATCTGCTGATATTGCTACATCAAAAATTGAATTAAACTGAAACCATTCAAATTTTAAATTTTACTCAAATGTTTAAAAATATAATTACTTGTTAAATCAAGTCGCAAGCTAATTAAAATAGTCATACTTCAGTTTTCAAATTATAGGTTTACCTTAATAAATATAATTGGTTGTGTGTGCATTTTGTCTATTACATGAAGCGGTTTATTTACTCCTTTTCCATCATAAATAAATATTTGAGGTTGAGTTGTACTGCTTCTATATTATAAACATTTGTATTGTCAAAACATTAATTTAAGCATTTTAATAAAATAAAATATTAAATGCAAAACAAATTAAAAAAATTTGTTTCCAAATTTGAACAATTAATAAATATTTAAAACAAACCTATTTAAAAAATAACAAATTTTAATTTTCAAAAAAAAAAATTACAAAAATTACTTAACACTCACACAGCAACAGTATGAATTGGATCTCCTTTTGAATGCACCCAACATACACTAAGTGGTGTGAAATCTAATTTTATCATATTGATCATATCTGTAAAAATAAAATCAATTATAATACTAACATAATCAAGTACTTGGAGTAAACAAATTTACAAAAGAACATAATAGTTTCATTGTTTTTTTTAGAATTGAACAGTCATAAACAATTACAAATATGTATTGGATAGGTAAGCAAATAACTTTAAAGTACCAAAATTAATAACATCAAAAACTTTGACTGTCTGATCTGATGATATTGTACACATTAGAGTTCCATTATAATTATCTGTCATATCAGTAATTGGAGTAAGATGACTACGAAAATGTTTTACAAATTCAATTAACTCTTCAGTTTTTTTCCAGAACTTCACATGTCCGTCGCAGCTTGCTGTTATTAAAAAGTCAGTTCTGAAATAAAAATAATAAATTAAATTTTATATTACAATTTTAAATAACAATATTAAAGTGTTAAAGTATTACTTAGTGATTATTATATGGGTGATAACATCCCGATGCATGTAGCTTTTTTCATAAGTATCACATGTTGGTAAGTTTTCCAAGTACAACCGCTCATATTTTAGAACTAAATTTAAAAAAAAATAATAATTAAAATATCGATATGATTTATTTTAAATCATCTAGAGGATTTGGTAACAAACATAACTTAGATATACCTATAGAATATTAAATAGTCATAAATCATATTACATTTATTTTCATAAGATACAGTGGTATTAAATTCATAAATAGAAAATTATTTCAATTATACACAGTACTTTAAAAATCACAACAGGCAATTTTATTATTTTAGAAAGTTTAGGAATGTAGAAGAAACGTTTTAAAATAAATAAATTACTATAAACTGCAACTAAAATGTTAAAAATTAATAATTTATATTTTAGTTAAATATTTAACATCTTTTAAATAGGTATTAATTTTTCCCTACCTATCTATTCTCATTTTAAAAAAGATTTAGTTTGTTTTTTTAAATAATAAAATATTAATTATAGAGTATAAATCAATCATAATTTAATTAAAAATAATAATTTACTTTTTCTTTTCTTTTTCTCAACGGGGCTTGTCAATTCGGACAAACTTGGACCTACGCACTCATCGTCGTCTTCGTCAGAGGCATTGCTCTTTTCGTCGTCTTCGCGTTCTCTTTTCTCCGACATGTTTTCGATCTTATATATAAGATAAAATTTTAAAAATAATATACAAACAACAAGTGTAAAAAAATACTATTTCGACGTTATTTCAACTATCGGCGCCAATAGCGTGTTGAAAACTTTAACCAAAAACAAACCGTCACTGGCGATTTGCGTTTAAAAATGATAACGGTTACAATAATATGATAATTTAAGCACAGAATAAAATTCTGTGATTCAAGTGCGATTTGTAAACAACTATGAACTTTTCATGTTTACAAATTTGACTATTAGGACGGGACAGGTATTATCAGATATAATTATTGTATCAGGTTTGTTTATTATTCTTATCTTAGATTTTGAACCACGTAAACAAAGTTAGCAACGGTTTTGTTTGTTTTGAAAGTTACGAAACGAAAAAACCGCTCAATCATTTTATCTTTATTCAACAGCAATAGCAATAGTAGCAATACAATAATACACACTTTTCTAATTGAAATTTTATAGCTAAACCTGAATAAATCATATAAAATTCAATCACCGTTTTTGTAGAGCAAATTAAAATTAATAATTATTTACCGACTGCTACAAAATGGAAACCGTTATTGGGATAAAGTTCAATGATTTTGTACTCATCGCCACGGACATGACTGCTGCTCACAGTATTATGGTCATGAAAGATGGTAAGACATTTATAAAACTAGTATTTTACCCTTCTTATTTTTCACCTTTGTACTTAAACGGAATTCTTCTTTTTTGTAGATGAAGATAAAACGTACAACATCACCAACAATGTAATAATGGGTGTTACTGGTGAAGCAGGTGACGTACCTAGATTTGCAGAATACATCACTCAAAATGTCAAACTTTACCGCATGCGTAATGGATACGATTTATCCATTCCAGCTATTGCGACTTTCACTCGTAAAACTGTTGCCGAACACCTTAGAAGCCAAGTAATTGATTAAGCAATTATAATTATTATGCTTTTACTTGTTTATTTGTTATAGAGAAAATTTACAAGCTCTCAGATAAAATTATATCTTATATTCTTCAATTTCTTTACTTAAAAATTATTTGAATATTATTAATTTAATAATTCAATATTTGTTTTTGTGTATAGAGTCCTTATCAAGTTAACTTCATGCTTGGAGGATATAATCCAATTGAGAAAAAATCTTATTTATACTTCATTGATTACTTGGGAGCTCAAGTAGATGTTCCTTATGGTGCTCATGGATATGGTGGTATGATGACAATTACAGTTATGGACCGTTACTACAAACCAGGTAAATCCAATAAATTTAAAACATTTTCTTTTTAGAAAAAATTTTAAATATTAGATTTTTAATTTAATTTTTATATGTTTTTATAAAACTATATTGTAAACATTAACCTTTTACTATAAAACTGTTCTGGTGTCACAAGAAAAAACACCTACATTAACATTTTAATCACTTTTGAAATGATATCGTAAATACTTGGAAAAGACTTGTGTTGTATACAATAAGTTTAATTCATATAATAAGTCAGAAAAAAAATATTATGAATTTATTTTTAATAAATTTATTGCTTTTAAATAACGTTTATATTTTTAAAAATCATAACTATATCATACATCAAATAATCAAACAGTATAAAGTATAGAAAATAGTGAATTTTTAAATAAAAAAACAATATGCTATGTAATAATTTATATTTTGTTATAGATATACATAATAGTGTATAATAGTTACTAATTATTAATACAATTAGAGCAAATAGTTTTAAGTACAATAAATGATTTCTTGAATTGAAATAATTACTATTGGTTTTATTTTTAGATGCAAATTATCAAGAAGCATACGATCTCCTAAAAAAATGCATATTAGAAGTACAAAAACGTTGTATTATCAACATGCCCAAGTTTAAAGTTAAAATTTCTTATGCTGGAGGTGTACAGGAATTGCCAACTATTACCAAGGATAATATTGAACAAAATATCATTGTTAATGTAAAAGAGTAAAGTTTATATTTCTGATGTGTATTTATTTTTACAATTTTTTTTTTTTAAAAACATACGTTATAAATTTAATTAATGGAAATATAAACAATATTAAATGCTACTGATGTTTAGTTGATTTTTTTCTTAAATATTTATTTAAAGCTGTCATTAAATAAATTATTTAACTTCACAATGATGGCATCAAACAAACAGTGAAATAAAACATTTTCTAGTATGAAATAATTTAAATTTGAAAATGTAACTTTATAATTTTTTAAAAGATGTTATTCTTGCAGCATTTACAGTCCAGACATTACTATTAATTTGAACATAAGCAATATCTAGATAAAGAGTATAAATAACTGTGGTATCTTATGTCTTTATGCTGCAGGGAAATATACTTTAACTTTTAATTTTTTTCTTTTCATATAAGTACCTAAAATTTATATAGTTTTAAGTTTTTTGTTAAGTTTTAGACCCATATCAAAATCAATGGAAAAAATAAATATTAAAATATGTATATTTAAACTAATTCAATCTATTAAATCTGACTACAACTCAATCTTAAAATTTGTCTAAAAATACTACTAAATATCTTAAATCATGAATTCTTCAATATTGTTTCAAAAAATTATACCAAATTAATTTATTTGAAAAACCAGTAATAAAATCATAAATCTAATAATATAATTGTTAACTATATGCATTTTTTAAATATCCATGTTTTATTTTCTTTATTATCACTTCACTAATAACTAATAATATCATATAAAGTATATTATTTTTTATCAAGTGTAAACAATAAAAATTAGTAAAAATGGCTAAAAGAGGATGTTTAATATTATACTTGTAATAAACAATATTAGTTTTTTAATCCTCATTCAATAAAAACATTTAACTTGGTGTAATTTGATTTTCTCATATAGTAAACAACAAAATAATTTTTTCTTACAATTTTGTTTTTTTTTTTTTTTATTTGGTTTACTTAAAATCACCAATAAAAAATGTATATACTCTACAATCAGCTAAAAAATGTCAATATTGGTTTTTTAAACATATTGAATGTTTAAAAATTATGATAATTTTTTGTTATGCTAAATAAGACTATTGCTTCATTTTATGTATATAATGTTAGCACATAATTTTTAAAGTTTTTATTTGGTAGAAAAAAATGAATACCTAATTTCTGTGCATATATCATGATTCGCGTAACTAACGTTAACAATGTAATATTTGATTGCTATTAATTCTATATATATATATATATATATATGTAAACCATTTGTATTTGTGTATTCAGTATTGTGTCGATATAATATTACACAGAACAATAAACATAATAATAATAACATGATGTTTAAAACGCATATAGGTAGCTACAGCTTATTGATGTATTATATTAACGATTATCAAATTTGTATCTCGCACTGAAACCTTAAACGAATTAAACATAATCCTATTTATCTCTATATTTTAATAGAAAACAAAATCGTTTTAATCAATCAACTATCACATTAATTTCAAACTGTATGACTATATGGTCCATTATTGATTGACGAGTAAAATTTAATGCGTTTTTTATGTTTTATATTTATAGCCAAATTCAAATAAAATGTATTTGATGTACCATTATAAAGGGTCCCGTTAATCTGGACACGAGCTAATAGGAAAGACGCAGAGTCCTAGCGGGTTTAAGAATTATTATTTTTTTAATTCATTAGTAATCCGAATGACCCTCTTCCCAATCTCGTTCGGATTAACGATACCCCACTGTACCTTCATATTATAGTATAGGCATGTCTAGGGACAATAAACTGCATGAGCAATGTATTATTGTAAGACTAAAGCTCCATTCTCTACGAATTAAATCAGCCTATGCTAAACGCTGATGAGTATATCGTCTGATTTGTTACGAGTAACTAACATTGAATTAGGGTAAAATTATTATAAATAAATTTTAATGTTCCTTTAAAATAATTGAACCTATATAATTTCACTCGTGAGTGTTAGAGTACACTACAACATTGCCCAAGAGTTGGGAAGGAATTATATTATTTTTATTTATACGTAGGTATATGTGTGTAGGTACAAAATTTATAAAAATATATTTTTTTTTTTTCATAGTTAAAAAAAGCAAGTGGGTTTAATACTCTCTCTCCACCCGTCTATACGTCCTTAATGCGTATACACACATAGCCAACACATCGATAATAATTTAGTATAATAATTATATAAATTTTAAAATGTACTATAAGCGAACAGTAAAAATAAAAATATTTTATCGTCAATAGGCACAAATTACGGTAATAAAAAAAAAAAAATAATATACCTACCAAATTATTTGTCATAACTCATAACTGCCATTTATATATTTTACTCAATATCCTTGAACACTTCTTAAATCGGATCATAAATGTAGTGTTTTACGAATCATAATAATTTGAATTTAATGGTGAAATTTTTTTTTTGTATATAACTGCATAGTACATATATATAATGGTTATTGCATATTCTTACAAAATTCTAAATATATTGCATATTAAAGCGAAATTTTTTCATTAATAGTATTTAAGTAATTAATTGTTATAAGTTGTTTAATTTGTGAATTTTAAATAAATAAAAAAAAATTCTTACGTATTTGTAACATATTTTCATGATTTTTACTGCTTATTATAATATGACATATTTCGTTACTTTTTAATGCATAAAAATCTGTGCTCTATATATAGATCATATCATGAATGTTTAATATTATGGTGGAACTAGAAAAAGTTGGAGATTTAATGTCCTCTTTAATCTGAAAATAAGTTCTATTATATACAGTGTCATCTTACATTCATTAAGTATGTATTATCATGGAATTCCACCATATAATGGTAATTTTAATAATATAATCCTTTTGCTTGATATATATTCGTTTTATCGAAGCAGTCTCGTTTTATTGCTTGCTCCGTGTATTGCTACCAGATTATCGGTAAAATAAAATATATTATAGGTACTAACGTACGTTAAATTTTACTCGATAAAACAAAGCGTCTTGTCTGAATATTATTTGTTCTAAATATTATTCTAAATCCTCTATTATTCTCCCCATTTGGTATTAATCTATCTCGTATCACCATACACCGTGCATATCAGGGATAGGCAACGTTTTAATTGTAACCACGTAGGACAAACATTATATATTTTACAATAAAAAGAAAAAAACTGAAAGCAGAATTCTAAAGTCATAGTAAAAATTGGACTACACTAAAACAATGATTAACAGAAACAATTAAAATTCAAAGAGAAGAAAGTAATATTGATTATGATCCAAAAGACAATAGT